CGCACAAACACAAGGCTGCAGGGCAAAGGTAAAACTCCGCTTTTCCTTTGCCCCCCCTGCGCGCTTGGCCCCGCGCCCCCCTCGCCGCCGCCCGGGGCAGGAGCTTCCCGACGAAGCTGCCTCTTCCTGAAGCTCCGCTGTAACTTGATGTCGTGCCCGCGCCGCAGCCCACGCCGGCTAGGGGCGATATACCCCTGCCTGGCGTGTCCGTGCCCCCCGAAGGAAGGTGACAGCAGCACCCGCAATCATTGCTGTCAGGTTTTTCTTATAGATACCTGAGTTTAGTGAGGTTGATCAGGTCGGCAACTAAGTGCCCGATCCTGGGGTTTTGACTTTCTGACAGCTCCTGTTGCTTGAAGGATCAAATGGCTGGTCAAACTGTTTTTCAGACTCAACACCCTCTATTCAGATCTAAACACAGGGGATGTGCCTTGAATGAAAGATCGTCCTCAGCTGCAAAAGTTAGCAAAACAATGGCCCAGCACTCCCAAGCACAATGGTCCAGATGTCGTAGGCATATTACAGTACTAAACGCAAGACTAAGGGTTGCTTAGTGCCTTGCATGTCCTTAGTGATTCAGGGGAGTGGTGATTAGGCAGCAATGAGACTAACACAAAAAACTAGTTGTGAGCCTGGCCTTGGAGCTCTTCCCTCTTTTATTTCCCTCTTTTGGAATCTTTGTCAGAAAGAGTGGTAAGACTTGATCCTGTAGTTCATGAAGCTATGCTGGCGCTGTCAGCGTTATTGTAAATATCACAGTGAATCTCTGTGCGCTGTCCGATCCGCAACGTAGCGTGAAAGCATCTCCTGTTAATTCCCCTAAACGTACAGAATTATATATTTTTTTTTCTTGGAGAAGAAATGATGTTATCAAGTGATGGGTGTTTACATTTATGGTAATTAACCTAGTTATGCAAAATGTCATGGAACGTAGGGATTGTCAACCAAGAGTCTGTCCATCTGGTCAGGCCAATCAGTGATGTGTGACGTTACCTTCAGAGGAAGAAATCCGCATAGGTGTATTTAATCGTATGATTGCTGTTTATCTGGAAGCATATGGGACTCCTTGGATCAGAACCCTCTTGTTCACGAGAGGTGCAAACTGGTACCTGAAAGACTCTCCCTAATCCTGAGTGCCTTCAACCTGTGTGTTATTGGCAGTACCCTTGCACTTTAGTAGGCAACAGAGGTGTCGTCAAGTGTTTTGGAGACAGTTTGGGGCAGCTTATGGGGAGTGTATGCCCAGTTCAATAATGATCCCTGTTAATTTCATTTCAGCTACATAAAAAGGGGCTACTTCAAACACAGCAGCAAAAGCAGTAGCTAACCTAGTAACTTTTTTCTTTTCCCCTTTTGGAGGCAGTTTCAAAGGACTTGCTCTCATTCCTGCATCCTACAACTGGCAGATTTGTGAATTCAGAAGAGGAGTAGAGATTAAAAATGTCAAAAATTACTACAGAGCTTCTTTTGGAAAGAGCAGTTCCAAGATCTACTAGGCTGCGAAAGATTGAGACGCTGAAGTAAGTGCAAACAGGCCCATGGAAAATTCCACATGAATGCAACATGGGCAATCCTTTTAGTCTTTGTTTTCTTAAGTACTCTTACTGAAATAAGAGAGGCCATTACAAAACGCAGAATAGGAGATGGCATTCTCAGTGCAGGACCCGTGAGTATGAGTTGAACTAGCAGCAATTCCCACTTCTCTTCGCCATGTATGTGTTCTGTGCATGTCACTATCTTTTTGTAAAACTGCTTAAGGCTAGGTTCCGATTTCCTCATCCTAAGAGGTACTTTACTCCCCCCCACTTCTTTGGTAGCAGTTACTTAATATGAATAGGTGAATCACTTTTGGTGTGGATTTTAGAGAGTTTTATCAGTGTTTTTGGCATTATTTCCCCTCCTTTCTCCTTCCATCGCTTTCCATCTGCTCCAAATCCAATTACGTTAATACCTAGAATATGACTATAGAAGCATTGCAGAGGGAGAATAAACTATGACACATACAGAAACCTCTAAAAACAGTTTCATTGCTCAGATCCTTAGCTGCGATCATTGAAAATGTTTATCTTTCCAGTTTTTTAATACAGTGGAATTTTGTTCAGAACTTGTCAGTCTGAGTGACTCAGCTAGCCGAATTCTCACTGGTGCCTTTGCTAGTTTTGTTGATGCAGGAATTGTGTTTTTCATCCGTTGAAATTTTTTTTTTCTTGTCTTATGATAAAATACTTTTCAGATAAACTTTTGAATTTCTCTCTAAGAGTGTACGTTGCCATAATCTAGGTGAAAAAGCGATGTTGAGGTGTTTGAAGTAGTGAAGTATAGCTTTTCCCATTTAGCTTAATACCGTGATTTTGAGGGGTAATGTTTCTAAAAGGTTCATTTGGGGAACACTGTGTTGAGTTTCTCCCAAACTTTGTCCCTATCCCAAACCCAAATGGTTCATGCTTGAAACCAAAACGACATAGTAGTCACAGTCAGCTTTGCAGCCAGCCGAATTACAGTCAACCAACCTTTCTTACGTGCTTTGATCTGCTCTTTAGGCCTCTGAAATGAAAGTAAGTGAGAAGTGATCTTGCTTCTTAAATTCATCTTATTTATTCACATTTCATTTACATTTAGAAAGCCTTCTTTTGCAAATCATAGTGGATACAGGTTCTGTTTGTTTAAGAAATTCAGGCTTAGAACCTCAAGAGATATTAGCTCTCAGGATTAGATGTTCCCTCTGGAACCCAGCTGGAACCCGAAGGGCCCTTTGGAGCTCATTCTAGACAGATCTAAATGACCCTCGTTCTTGTATTATGTAATTTTCAATTTCTCACAAGAGATTTTTTTCCCCCCTCACAAGTTTTTTACATCTTCCTCTTCCAGGACAGAATGTTTCTGGTTTGGTGACTGCACTGTGAATTTTAGGTGTATTTCTGTAGTTACCAGTGGAAGTTTTTGCATCCAAATTTGCTGTAAAATAAATGTAAAAATCACTTTTTTTGGAAGTTAGTTCTTTGAAAACAGCTAAATGTTTGGGAAGCTAGTTTGCTTTTGGCCTGAACTTACTTCTAACGCAGAAAAAAAGACGTTTTGAGCCAGATCTACAAAATGATCGAACTGTTCACAAAGCTGTGCGAATGCAAGTGCTAGCATAAAGTAAGGGGGAGGATAGGACTAGCCTTTTTGGAAGCAGCATAATCTTACTTGATTATACCAGTTGTGACACTGTAGTTTACATACAGGAGGCAAATTATGAATCGAGTGTATTCTGTAGACAGGATAGATTGACGGTCTGGTGGAAAAAGTGCAGTCTCATGTTGCCACAGCTCATTTGGTTGAATTGACATTGCAAAGGAAAAATATATCAAAATTCCTGGAGGCATAACAGATTTTTCTAGGAACAAGAACTTTTCTAGTGGATCACTGCTCACAACCAAGTTTGTTATCCATAGGAGATTTATGTGGATTACAGATTAATTGTACATCACATACTTTAGTAAACTTTAGTCTCTGGCAGCGTTTACTATCTCAGACACAGCATCTTCTCCATGTATGTGTGTTTATGATGCAGACAGGAGGAAAGCGCGCTTTGGTCGGATTTACCCAGTGAGTTATGCTAGACTGAGAAGTGCCACAAGGTGGAACCTTGTATCCAATGAAATTCAGCACTTGTTTTTCCAACAAACTGCAGGCAGTTGATGTTCTCTATTGTTTTCAGCCTATCCAAGCTGCAGCTGAAGACTGGAGACTTAGACCCACGGTTGTTTTCCCGTCTGAGACATCTGCAGAAACTTGATCTCTCTGATAACTTATTGGATAAATTTCCCAACAGTCTAACCCTGCCTGATCTGCGTGTCCTAAACTGCAACAACAACCAACTGGAAGATGTAACTGCTCTGAAACAGTTCCCCCTGCTTGAGGAGCTAACCTATGAGAACAATGTGTATTTGACAGTGAGTTACTTCCCATCCTTACATGCTAAGTGTTAAACAGAGCAGGAAATAAATGGCAGTTATGCTTTGTTCTTGTACATCACGCTGAATCAGCAAGTGTTAGGACATCTCAGAAAGCAGGTAGTCTTTTTATTCCCTTTTTGCAGGTTAGGAAACTGGCACAAATTGGTGACTTGCAGAAAACCGCTCAGAGATTAAAATCTACGTGTCCTGAACGTCCTGATTCTCCAGGCCAGGGTCCCATCTTTGGCAGCTTCTCAAGCAGATTATCTTATCTTCGTACTTGTGGAGAATTTTAGTGGTGTAATATGTAGTAACGACTGTGTAGAAATGTCCTCCTCTTTGTTAGTTTTTGTTCACCTAGTGCTGCAGCCTGTCCCAGCTCTGGAAAAGCAGGCTGCTTCTTCTGCTAAAGGGTTAAATTTGGAGATTTTTCTAATTTAGGTTTTCTGACTTGTCTGCTGACTGCATGGGGACCTGAGGCTCCAGTGTAGGCATCTGAAACTGTAGCTTTTTATGTGCTTTAGCTGGCAGAAGCCACTACTGCTGTCCCCAGATGCTGTTCGCTGTTGTATGCTGGCGCAAGCACCTGTGTGGCTGCATGGTGAACTGGATTGGGGAAGTGGTCTGCCTTAAAACTTCCCGGCCGAAAAAACCCTGCTGGTATTCACTTACTTTACACAGGGCAGGCCTTCCTCTGTATTAGATGCTCAAAGTAAGAAGATATGAATGGAATACCCCTCGTTGCACTTGGGCAGGAGCGGATCAGCCTAGTTGACCACCACCTAGCTCACCACCACCACCTTGTGTTGGATGTTAGTACTGCATAAGTGTGAGGTAGGGTTCATGTATGCAGAGGTGAAGATTCCAACTTCTAGGAAAATATTAATTTACAAGTAACAGATGATATTTGAGTTGGACATCCTGAGAGGATTTTATGAAATGTCCTTTCCTGAATAAATACGTTCTGGTCCTTCTTGGTTATATTTCAATAAAGAACGCATATCCGTAGTTAAAGCAAGTACCATGTGTACAGTTTTCATAACTCTAATATTGTCTCTTTCCAGCCTAATGATGACTACAAGGTGATGTTTCTTTTGCAAAATCTCCGGCTACTCAATGGCAAGGATATAACCAAACTGGCTAATCATGTGAGGCATGTCAATAGTCGTAAGCTCACCAGCAAGGTAAGATGTGTGATATTTTCTGTGTGTGTGAATGCCTGACAAATAACTACATGCAGTGCTGTGTCCAGCTTAATGACAGAGTTGCAGATAGGCATCAAACAGTTTTGATAATGCTGATAGGATCTGAGTGCAGCTCACAGTATGGGCCACCTAATAAATACCTCATTACTACTTTCTCTGCTCACTGCTTGCATTTGTTTTTCCTGTTCTGTGTGGCCAACTGCTGCCTTCCGTTTCAGTCAGCGTGAGGCTTAATCCTGGGTTTCCTCAGTGCTACTGTCCTGGCTGTGTTGATGTACCAGGGCTGCAAAGCTGGCAGGAACTGACAGCCAGAGGATTCTTGTATAGCAAAGAGGAGTTGCCTTGAGGCCTGCACAGGAGTGGGGCTGACAAACTCTGTATCTGGACCTCCAGTTTTCTGGGACACTCCAATCGGCATTCATAAATGAGAGAAACCAGGTGCTGACATAACAGCTGTGTACACCTGTGTGTACACCTCCATCTAATTTACGTTACTCTCCTGGCTCCAGAAATGGGGAGCACAAAACCAGACTCAGGATAATCTTGCTTTCTCCAGCGTACACCAGGAGCAAGGATTTATTCCCCCTTCGCTGGAGATATTCAAAACCCACCTGGACATGATCCGGTGCGATGTGCTCTAGACGACCCTGCTTGAGCAGGGGGGTTGGCCTGGATGATCTCCAGAGGTCCCTTCGAACCTCAGCCATTCTGTGATTCTTTGGCCATGCATGTTTGGAGCTCTACTTTCACTCTTTGCCTACACCTTAGTTTATCTCCTGACAGATTTCTCCCTGCGACACATGTTGTGATCTTAAGCACAAATCTTGTTCCATTAGCAGCAGGATGCTTTTTACAGTACTGCTCTTACCGTTTCTAGTCCAGTTAGCTGATCTTGTTAATACCTTCCATGTAGCAGTGGTGGAGAGATCAGAGGCTGAAGACTGGGATGGCTTATAGTGCTAAGCATCAGCTGTGTAATACCTTGTACTGCAAAGGTCTTGGTGAGGGCTGCTCAGCCTCTCGTCCTCCAGGCAACTGGGTGTGGGTGACTGTTGGAATTATCAGTTAGGAGACACTGTATGTTCCGCTGTGCTGTTCAGTTTGTGCTGGTGCCTGTGCCCCACATACCTTCTCCCACTGTTACTGCTGTGTATCTGGCTGCCCGATTCTTATTGCTGTCTCTATATGTAAAGTGTTGAATGCATATTGGGCCTAAAAACTTGTGGATGTGATATTACCTGTCAGAAACCCTCACATGGGAAACTGTGCTGATAGGTGAATATCTGCATGGTTGTATCCATAATTTGAAAGCCTTTTGGAGTCAAGGTATCTTTATTTCTGGACAGTGAGAGGGTGTACACTTGTCCTGCTCATGTACACACGTAAACTAAAAGAAAACCCAGACGTCCCCATTGTCCCATGCCTGTTACAAATTAGGTACCTGTCTGGTACTCCCCTTCAGTAGGGCACAGTGTAAGACTTCTTAAGACCTCTTGCTGTGGGTTCAGAGACATGAATTCAGGCATTGCTCTGGATTCATGTTGACAGTCTCTACTTAGCTGCACTGACTTAAGCGTGGTCCAGAGGGATCGGATGACTTGTTAGCTGAACTGGTGGTGTGAACAGTGACCAAATAAATGAAGCAATGCCATTATGTAGATAACGAAGCCTCAGGGCTGGCAACTTAAATGCTTTCACAAGTGCTCTTGTGCTTTTTTCCTGTGGTTTTGGCCATGTTTTATTGAATAAACCCAGTTGTTCTGCCTAGGTTACTGCTCACTGGGAAAAATTCTTCCGTGACCAACTTCCTGAGAAGTATACAGCTGAGCACGTGAAGTCCATCAAGAAAAAATTCCTGAAGTCAGTACAAACCCATGTAGTATATGGACCCAGCTCACTCAGCGAATTCACCCGCTGGCGGGTAGGTCATGCTTCACTCAGCCTCCTGTTCTTGAAGCAAGGACTCTGCAGCCTGATTTTGAACAGATTGATTAAAATGCTCTATGGATTTGCATTCAGGGACTCTTACAAAGGTGTGGTATCACTTTTTCTGGTGTTCCCTGATAGTTTGTAGAGCAGCTGCAGAAGCATTAGGAATAAATGCATGCCAAGATGCAATGGCTGTTACTGAACGCTAGTTTTTACTTTATAAGCAATGATGATACTTTGAGTAATTAACATGGCTACAGTATCCTTAGTACTTACTTGTTTGCAAATGGCAAGTAACTAATGGCAGCCTTTAGCCTCCCTGATAGGGTGCCGTTCTTGGCTCATGTAGCATAGACCTAGTCAGCAACACAAATCAGTGTGCACTGATGTCATATGTGGAAGTGAAAAGTTCAGTCCAGCAGGTTGGTAGTTTACTATCTGATGCACTTCAGGGTGGTGGTCATCTATAGTAGTCACTGTAATCGCTCATTTACAGTGTTAAGTCAGGCCCTGAGCCATCTGCAGCATCCAGGTGTTCTGCCTGATTGATCAGAGGGGCCGTGGCACCGATGCAGCAATCTTTACTGTGTTTCAGTATGATCAGTGATTTCATTGAGCTTCCTTGTCATTGTTACTTGCACGTACTTCTCCAAGGCACAGCCTTACTCTTCACATCTGCCCCTTTCTGCATACAGTGATAGCTGCTTCTGGCTGCGCTCAGTCACAGCTGAGGGGCTGCACTCTGAATATGTCTGCACTCCAGCCTCTGAATCATGGTCCTTTGAGACCCTTTGAGTGAGGCACATTGTAGAGGGACAGCACAAGCAACCTCTCTGCTCAGCAGTGTTGGTAGAGGACTTTCACTGCCAGGCTGTCAGCGGAGGGCTTCCATCGGTTGGGAAATTCACATAGAATAGTGGAAGCTTGTACTGAAAACTCAGTGAAGCATCCCTTGTCAGTACACACCAGAGCTTGGCTGCTGGTGTTTTTTGTCTTTTTGTACATAAGCATGTATTTGCTTCTAAGGTGAAAATGATTGCAGAAGAGTTTCTGGCATCCTCATTGGGTCTGGAAGAAAATACAGATCCTGAACCTGAGGAAGAGATAGGTGAGAATGAGGAAGAAAGTACAGAAAGCCCCAGGGAAGTTGCGGAGGACGTTGGTCAGGTAGGTGGTTTTTCCAGTTAAATTAGCAACTTCTTTTTATTTTGTACAAATTCGGTAGCGCTTGTCATTTTACATTTATGCCTTTTGTACCCCCGTGGGCATTCCGGGGCCCCAGCCTATACTCCACAGCTAGGACTCATTTTTTACGGTCAGAATGAAGCCTTCCTGGCAATGAGAAGGTTTGGTTGCTATCCAAGAAGAGAGCGCTTCCATTCTCATAGGAGACCCAAAAGATTTTGTGGGTATGGTCCTATTCGTCCCACCCCTCCTTTGGGGAGGATATTTTTAATGAGAGAACTGGGCTGACGTGGCTGGAATGTGATGGTGCGTGGCCTCTTTGAGATGGCTGCAGTTGGAGCCCCCTCGGTCTGGGGGCCAGATTTGCTTTTCTGTATCTTATGGAAATCACAAATAACTGGGACAACGGAATTAAGTTCCAAATCAGGCTGCCTATGTGATTTTTTCATTAGCTTCTGCCTCTAGGAACTCTGCAGCTCTTAATTGCCTGTGATTTTTGGAACTCATTCTGTAACCGTGGGAGGGTACTTCCGTTTAAATAAAAAATATCTCTGACTTACAAACCATCTACACACCTTGGGGAGGGTAGAAACCTTCTGCAGAAACTGACAGCATATTTTATAGGTCACAGTTACCCCCAGCAAGAGGAAAAGAAATCATGCAACACCAAGCTCAGGAAACAAGAGATCCAAGTCCCAGGCAAACACCGAGGAGGAGGCTGCGCTTAGTCCCAGAAAGTCCAGTCACTTGCAGGATGACCCAGCTCCTGATAAACCAAGAGCATCAAACCAGCAAGCCAAAGAGGCAACCCCTGAAAAGGGAGCTGAAGGGACACATAGGAACGGAGAGCAGTTTCCCAAGGGGCAAAACAACAGAAGATCCAGCCAGCTGACAGGGGAACAAAAAAGCCAGGAGCAGGACAATGGGGTTGTTAACTTGACCCCAGTAAAGAACTTCAAGGGCAAGGTATGTCCGTCAGCCCCTCTGGGAACGGCTTTTGGCCTCTTGGTCTAGTGGGAGGAGCCACATTCAGATGTCAGCCGAGCTCTACACATCTTGGAGCTCATGACTGGCCAGATATATTGTGAGTTACGGTTTTTGTTTTGTTTTTTTGTTTTAAATCTCTCTCAGAGGCATGAGGGAAGGCCCCCCCTGGAGACAGTGAACTCTGCAGGGGATGGATGGACCAGCGCTCTGAGGTGGTGCACTGAAAGCCTGTTCTTAGAAACGGGACTGGCATGACTTGCTCTCAGGTCAAACAGATGGCTGGACGGGGGAAGGTGTTTCCCCCTCAGCTCAGATCAGTGGGGATCTAGAGGGTTTTTCGCATTCCTCTACAGCAGGAGATGGGGTTCACTGCTGGGGTCTGCTGGGCACGTCTTCTCTAAACAGTTCCCTGCTGGTTTAGGAATCTTGAGCATTGGTGGCACCTCAGTCTCCTGTTCTCTGTATGTAGCACAGAAGGGCTGAAAACCACTTCAGTTTAACTCAGATGGCTGTATTCAGTAGAGGGGTCTGTCAAGGCAGTCACAGGCATGCCTTTCACGCAAACCACTGTTGGGGGAATGGATTTTCTAAATGTGCATGGTTTATTGTAGGAGGATGTCAGTGCAGAGCCATTACATTTTCTTCAGTGTCACAGTAAAGGCAACAGCCGCGAGGATTTTAAAACGCAGCTCTGGTCCTGTGTCTTCGAGCCATTGCTAGACTGTGGAGCCAGGAAAGGTGAGCTCTTCAAGCAGTTTGCAGGATTCCCAGAAGCCCCTGGCTCTGGAATCCCACCGGACTCCATGTGCTAGACCCCTCCTCCTTCAAGCTGTAGTCTCCGTTGTCAGGAAGAGACTTGTGTACATACTTCTTCTTTGACTTTGTAAACAGGAGGCTGGGAAAGCACCAGGCAATGATAAGCTGCAGTCTTCATGAGTTATCCACTAACCTGGGAATTTCCTACCTATTCTTTTCACCTTTCAGATCCCATTGTGAGCTCCTCTAGAACTGTGGCAACCTGTGGAGGGGAGTCTGTGTGTCTGATTGATTGTGAGACTGGGATGGTGCTAAAAAAGTATAAAGTGGCTACAGAGGTAGGTTGCAGATGAGAGCAGTAAACAGTAAGTGGAAATACCGTAATAGCTTATAATACATACCTATGTACAAGCATCATAATATATTCTGAAGAGTTCTGAAAGAGGGTTTCAAAGATTAATGTGGACAGTTCTTAAAAGGATGAAGATAGATGGTAAACATTTCTGATTTATCCTTTGAACCTGCTTCGTTTTGGTTAGTTTAAAAGATTAGTCCACCCCTGTGTTCCTCACACAGGTGTATGTATCCAGGCTGCTAAGAATGTCTGACAGCATAGAGGAATAAACATTCCTGTTTTGATAGTTTGTGTTCTGTTGCGGGTTGTTTTGAGATTCAGTGCTCTGGCTTGAACAGTCGTGTCATTTCATCTGACTAACTCTCCTGATGGTTGTCTCATCTCTGACTTAACAGCCATCCTGCTGACTGTTCTCTTTCATGCTATTCTTGGGTTCTTTCCTATCCTAGGAGTTTTTCAGCGTTGCATGGACAACTCTCACAATGGTAATCAGCAACAGTCGGAAGAAAACTCATAATATCTTGGCAGCTGCTGGGAGGAGAGGGATTGTCAAACTGATTCATGTGGCGGCTGACTTCTGCTACGGAGAGATAAAGGCTCATAAAAAGCCCATTGCTACTATCTGTTTCAGCCCAACTCACGAAACTCACCTCTTCAGTAAGTCTCTACTTCAGAATCTCTTTAGTTTTAGAGACTAATACAGAAAAGGCTGGGCTCCCTTAATAGGGGGTATTGTCATCAGTGTGCAAGCAGGTATCGGTAAGTGGGTGCTTACAGGGACCACACATACAAAGAGCGTGGACAGACATTATGGAGTGAGTCATGTACGTCTCCTACTGCATTAATCTGCAGAGGGTACAGATTGTTTCAGCCACAGGGCCTGGCTCTTCAGCTGAGGTGTGGCAGCTCCTGTTTCTTGCTCAGTAGCTTGCTGGCATGCCAGCTCTCAGGGTGGCTGTCACGCATTAGCCAGAAACAATCCCAGCAGCAGATTGGTTCCGCAGGGATGAGTAAGAAGAATGATAGCCAGAGCGGGCCGGGCAGCAAGTGGTCAGCTGGCAGGGCTCTTATCAAGCAAGGTAACTGGAGCAATGCAGAGTATAAGAGGCTGTTGGATTTCATTTTTTCCCATAAGCAAAACTGTATGCTTAATTGCTTTTGATAAATGAAAATCTCTGAGTCCTGTATCTTGTCAGAAGTTTTTATTCAGGTAGAAGAGAGCTTTGCCGGCCTAGGGCCCACAGAGATTGAGGTTTAAGGACTGGAAACGAACCATTGTATTACAAATTGCAGCTGCGCTGTCATGCCTGAGAAGTAAGCTTTTAAGGAGCCCTTCTGACCACACCTTCACCCCACAGCACATTGTTTCTTTTGCCTGGAATTACCCACATCCTGGAGTGACTGCAGTGTTTTGTGAACCATTAAGAATGGATATTTTTTTAAAACAGGGACATCAT